CGTGTATATGTTTTTCACATATTTACTTAGTTGTGATATTTATTTAGTTACCTTTCTTATATTGTTAATAGTCAATAGACCTTTGGTTGTTAATAATCAAAGATTTCACGTAATTCTGAGTTATTAGACGTTCTTTCTTTCACCCCAAAAAACATACCTTTCTTGATTATTCAAAATTAAACAAAAAAAATATTTTTAATGATTTTTTTGGATTTAACGGTACTGCATAAGTTAACCAAAATTTTAACGTTAAGTGATTTCAGAAGAATAAATCACATGAAATGAAATTGTCTCGAAAGACCTACGTCAAATCCTTGAAATCAATACAGACTTAGCTAAAAATAAGATACAATGGAAGAGAAAAATCCATATAGGCGATATTTGAGAATAGGTTATAGACTTGGTAGAGAATTTATTATTATTCTTATTACTACTACTACTTCAGGTTAAATTTCACAAATGGTCATATAACTATGACTTTTTTTTACCAAAGACATATAACTTTATTTCCTCACACAAAAATTATATAACTATGACTTTTTTTCGCCAAAGTCATATAACTTTGTTTTCTCACATAAAAATCATAAATCTTTCATTAACTAACACAAAAATCATAGTGGTCGAAAAATAAATTTTTCGGTAGTATTTTTTTATTTTTTTATTTTCAGTCTAATAAATAATTATCCAATTAGAACAAATATGAGTATTTGTTTAGCCATTCTCCAAAATAATAGTCGATAATATATATATATATATATATATATATANTTATTGGCTAGCAAATGCAATTAGTTTCGACCGATCGGTTAATTTATATTTTTTTCTTAAAATAGGAATGACCCAACCCACCCTGACTGAATACACATATAAAATAATACCAAAAGTGAATTTTTCATCCATAAAAAGTTTAGTTCGGAATGCATGAGATTCTAACAAAAAAATAAAGATATAAAGGTATAATTAAAGAGCACTTGAAATAAAAATACACAATTTGAATAAAAATTTTATAAAGAAAATAAAAGATAGAAGTATCATGTTTTGAAGGATGTACTATTCACTCTTAGAATTATTTTAATTTCTATATATGAGTATTGGGTCGGGTGGGCCAGGACGGGTTAGGTCATCCCTATTTTAATTGTATTATTATTTATTAGACTGAAAATAAATAATAAAAAGTATAAAATAAGAAAATATTACTGAAAAATTATATTTTTCGATCACTATGATCTTTCAATGAGTTTGTAAAAGTTTTATGATTTTTGTGTGAGAAAACATAGTTATATGACTTTGATGAAAAAAAGTCATACTTATATAATTTTTGTGTGAGAAACAAAATTATATGACTTTAATGAAAAAAAGCCATAGTTATATGACCATTTGTGAAATTTACCCTACTGCTTCACTTGCACTTTTAGTTTATTTTGGTATTGATGATGTTGATGTGAATTGAGCTAAAAGAAATGAGAACTCATATCGCTATTGAGACATAATTGTTGTTAATGATTTCAGAATAAAGTACTCCCTCTGTCCAATTTGTGTCATAGTTCGAATTTTGAGAGTCAAACTTCTTAATTTTGATTTGTAATTCGAACAAAGAATCTTTAAATTTTTTAAAATAAAATTTATATATTTAAAAATTACATAAAAAGTACTATAATTTAAAAGACATATAGAAAATGGAGTCAAAGTTAAAATTGCATGACTCTCGAAATTCGAACATCGACACATAAATTCGGACAGAGGGAGTATGAATTAGTGGAGAAAACATATATGTGAGAAAATAATTATGTAAAGTGCCATACTTATGACCTAACTAGAATCGGTTATCCCATTTAACTTATGGTTAAGACATTTATCACTTTTTGTTTCATTTAATATTCACAAATACCGCGTGCCATTTAAATTTAAAAAAAGAAATTAAAAATGTCCATTAGGTCGGCAGTTGCATTATTATAAAAAAAAGTTACTTTAAGTGTGTTCTTTCTTCAATTTTTATCGTATATGATAATTACTAATTACTATTCTTTTTCCTAATAATTTATTAAAATAAATCAGCTTTTCAGTAGATGGGACACCAATTAGGCAATTCAAGAATTTAGAAGCAAGTGGGATACCTTATCCAAAGAATCAACCAATGTGGATATACTCAAGCTTATGGAATGCAGATGATTGGGCAACAAGAGGAGGACTAGTTAAGACTGATTGGAGCAAAGCCCCATTTATAGCTTCCTACAGAAATTACAATGCCCAAGCTTGTGTATGGTCTTCAAGTTCTTCTTCTTCCTGCACCTCTAACAGTTCCACAGGGAATTCTTGGCTAAGTGAATCATTGGATAGCACAGGCCAATCTAGGATTAAATGGGTGCAAAGTAATTATATGATTTATAATTATTGCACCGATACTAAACGCTTCCCGCAAGGATTTCCCCCTGAATGCTCTCTCAATTAGTGCTAGTAAATTTATAAGTTAAGTGTTAAAACTGTTTTTTATCTTCAGGTTTACATTATAATAGAATGTATAGTAAATTATGTTCCACCTGAGTATAGAATTATTTGATTTCATTTGAGCAATAAGAATGAGAATTTTCATCTGTACTTGCTGTCTTTTTTGTTTTTCAACAATTCCCACTTGTTGGGATTTATTAGATTGATTGATTCTGTTTGACTTCTCAATATAAACATCCATATTGTGATAGGTTGATAGAAACTATCCATATTTGATATTAATGAAATAATGAAAACGTCACTTTTGAACTAAGGACGTATTGTGTTTGATGATCAACAAACTCTGATAAGAATCAGGTTTTAGGGTCGAGTGTAACGACCCGATCGGTTGTTTTATGTAATTGCGCCCCGATACCCCTTTTACTGCTTCAAACTTGTGTGTTTATTTCTTTATAACTTGTGGGGTTGATTAGTTTCGTTCCGAGAAGCTTTCAGGTTGATTTGGACCCTTGATTTTAGACTTAGAAGTTTAAATTTGAAAATATTGACCAAACTTTGATTTTTGTGAAAACCACCCCGAAACTGTATTTTTATGACTCCGATAGCTTTGTATCGTGATTTCGGACTTGGGCGTATGTCCAAAATTACGAAATTGCGAAATTAATTTTGGAAGTCCGTAGGTTGATTTGTGTTGATTTACCGAAATTTGGGAATTTTAAGTTGAAAAGTTTGACCGTAGGTTGACTTTTAGCTATTGAGCTCGAAAATTAATTTTGGGACTTGGAATAGGTCCGTTAGGGTATTTAGAACTTGTCTGCAAAATTTGGCGTCATTCATAGATGAATTGATAGGAATCAGACGTGTAGTTGTAATTTTAGAAGTTCTTGAAAATTTCTTTGAAATTCTTGCCTTTTGAGTTCGATCGTAGTTTTAGATGTTATTTTTGTGTTTTGATCACGTGAGAGAGTTCATATGATATTTTAATTCAAAGTTAAAGATTTCTTTGTTGTTGATAGGGATGACCTTGAGCTTACTGTAGTTGCTTTAAATATCATAGAACATATGGAAAATCTTAATGTACAAGTAGAAGTTGCTGCTGAGGGTGAAGAAAGTGATGATTTGTTTTAGTTTGCTGCATGTGGCTATGATGGATATAATTCTGAGGAACTCGAAATATTTAACCAAGAGAGGAGGAAAATATAGGTACAAAATTGTAAAATTATATGGATCTATACTTAGGTATGACCTTTAAGTAGATACATGAAGCAACACATGTCATCAATTTTTATTATGTTGCTAATAAGAAAGCTTTGGTAGTTAAGAAAAGTGATACGACTAGATCCATGTATACATGTCAGGATGGCTGCTCATTTGTTTGTCTTATTTCCAGAGATGGGGTAGTCATGGGTTTAAAATCAAGACTTTAAACCCAAACCACACATGTTATGATGCTTTTGTGAATAAGAGAGTTGATGCTTCTATATTGACTCATTACTTTAAAAATAAAATATAAAACAACCCAAAATTTAAGGTGAAGGATATGAAAGGGGAACTAGAGGATGATTACATGTTAAATGTCTCCAAATGAAAGTTGAAGAGGGCTAAAAGATTGGCTTTGCAAAAACTAGAGGGCAACTTTGTTGATGATTACAAGAAGCATGAGGCATAATCCCAAGAAATTAGGGATAGTAATCCTGAAAGTGATGTTATCATAAACATATCAAAAGAGGCATTGTTGACAGGAAAAAGACGATTCCTTAGAATGTACATCTGTTTTTATTCCTTGAAGTAAGGTTGAAAAAATGGTTTGAGGCCATTTATTGGGTTAGATGGGACTTTCTTGAAAGGGAGGGCTAGAGGTCAATTGTTGGTTGTCATTGGTCAAGATGCTATGAGCCGATTTTATCCATTAGCATGTGTTGTGGTTCAAAAGGAAATAGTAGGACATGGACTTGGTGTATGGAGATGTTGTAGAGGTCTTTGGACCTAAAAGATGGTACTAGAGTGACATTTATTTCTGATATGCAGAAGGTAATATTTATTACAACATTCTGAATTTCAATTGTTCTTCTCTTTTTATGAATTTCTCTAATTTTTATTATTCCGTTTTTTGATATCATAGGGGTTGCTAGATGCAGTGAAGGTTGTGTTGCCTGAAGCACATCACAGATATTATATGAGACATATTGAAGCAAATTGGTGTAAAAAATGGAGAAGTGGTTAAATGAAAAAACTAATGTGGTGGTGTGCCTAGAGTTGTTATGAGTAAGAATTTGTAGATCAATTGTCAAAATTGGGAGAATTGTCTAAGGATGTTGCAGAAGATCTGTCGCACTATCCACCAACTTCTTGGTATAGATCTTAACTTCATACACAGTGTAAGAGCATGGTGGTAGACAATAATTTCATTGAGTCATTCAATGCTTGGATACTGAAAGTTAGGAGCAAGCCTATCTTTAAAATGCTGGAAGAAATTTGGGTAAAGGTAATGGAATTATTAGGTTGCTAATAAAGCTAAGGTGAGCACCTGGACCGTTGATTACAGTCCACAAAGCATGAAACTCTATAGTAATTACAGGCAAATTGCTCAAGATTGTAAGGTGGTTTTTTGTGGTAATCGTGGATATGAAGTATCAGAAGGTGAGGATAGACACATAGTCAATATCAAGCAAAAGAGATGTACTTGTAGGCTTTGGGACTTGTCTGGTATTCCTTGCCCTCATATAATAAGGGCTTTAATGTACCAAAATGATGATACTCTAACAGAAATGAATTGGTGGTATAGTAAGAATGCTTACTTGCTAACATATCAACATATGATGAAGCCTCTGAGGGGTTCAAAGTTCTGGAAAGTTACTCCTGCACAAGCCATAGAACCACCTGATTTTGTCAAATCTGTTGGCCAGCCTAAGGTTAAAAGAAATCAGACACCTGATGAGGCAAAAACAAAAAGAGAGAATATGGACTATCTCAAGGAAGAGAGGTCAGATTACTTGTAGCAAATACGGTAAAACTAACCATAATGCAAGAGCATGTGACAAGGTAAAGCTTTTCATAATTATTATCTAATTTCAGTAAGATTATTGTAATTAACATATAATCTTGGCATGGCAGGACCCTGATGAGGAAATGTGCTCACAAGCGAGGAAAAGAGCAGCATGCAGTCAAACTTCTTATGCATTTCAAAGTGAAGAAGAACTCCAAGTTACCACACAATAATTCCAGCAATTAGTGTTTTCCAGCCAAGGTAGAACTTCTGCCACACAAACATCTGATGCATATCCTGATATTGGGAATGAAGAAGACCCCCTATTGCGGCCAATGATTATTTCTGAGACACAAACAAGTCTACAAAACATAATGACTAGGCAAATCACAATTGAGACAAGGAGGATTCAGTTCAAGGGAGATCACACTGGTACATCAATACCAACCAACCTGCCTTACTCACCAAAGAAGGTCACTTGAAAAGGGAAGACATCTATGACATCCAACCAGTTGCAAACAGAGGCGACAAAAAAATTTGAAGGTAATAGAAAGGAAGGGAAAAGGAGCAACAACTAATTTGGATATTTCTATTTAAGTGAATTTAGTAGTTAAAGGTTGTTTTGTGGATGTTTAAACTCTATGGCAGTTCTTGTCTTAACTATCAGGTGGTTGATTACATCTTGTTTTTCGTCATTGGTTAAGCACCTGATGGTTAAGAACAATTATGTTTTGGTAATGGTAAATTATCATATCTAACTTTGAACGATGTTATCTTATTTGGTAAAGGCTTGTTTGAATGTGACTGCACTTTTTATTAGCATATGAAGTTGTTTGAATGTGATAGAGAAAAACATTGCAACTAGATTCATTTCAACATTACACTATATGTGCAAAGGAAAATAACTTCAAGTTGTTCAAAACATTAACACTACATTCCTAACATAAGTTCAAAACATTGCAACTTCAAGTAGTTCAATAGATTACAACTTCAAGTAGTTCAAAGCAGCACCATAACAATCACATTACATTATCCAACTTGAGATTAAACCAACAAAGCAACACCATGACATTCCAATGACAATCCATTGCTTGAATACGTTATCCTTCAACTTTTGGATCAACCCAATGTCCACTGCCAACAAATTCTCAAGATCTATAACTTTCTTCTTCAAAGCATCATTTTCTTTTACCTTGTCAATTCCTTCAGCCACATAATTTTCAAAATCGACCATCCTTCGCTGCAAAACATTCTTTTCATGTCGAAGACTATCATTTTCCTTCTTTAACTTACAGATCAGTTCTACAATTCTACGATGAAGCTCGTCATCCACCCATGCCCAATAAGAACATTATTTTTCCCTGTCCAAATATCATAAAGAATTAATCTGAAATCCCCATTTACCCGTAAACTAATCTTATTCTACACAAAATTAATTGAGACTTACCTCCGACATTGAACACTTAAAATATCGTCTCCCAGCATTCAACGGAGTCCAAGCAACAAAATAGTTAGCAACCTTTCCACATTAATAATTTTTCCTCAACCCAGTTGAGACGCTAGAACACTCAGATATTTTCTTTACGGGTAGAGATGTTGAAGATAGCAGAAAAATTAACCTAAACCTAAACGTATTTCAAACTTTGTGAGATGACCAAAAAAATAGAGTTGAGATTAATGAAATCAAAGAAGAAGAAGAAGAAGAAGAAGAAATGAAAGAGGCGACATGGAGTAAATAAAAGGAGGTGGAGTTGGTAAGAATTGATTAACATTAACTGAGACTTATTAATAGTGGCAGGAGGCTAAAGTAAGGCTCGTTAGCCTAGAGGGGCAGCAATACCATGATTTGGGTAACTACAGGGATACAAATGGGCTCAATATTTAACGGAGGGTATTTGTGCACCTGGGCGAAGATTATATGGGTAGTTTAGGTCCTTTTCAGTTTTTTAAATATGAAATATTTAAATTTAAATATAATTAATTTTGGCCCACGGGCCGGCCCAGGCCCAACCTTTGTCGAGCCTCAATGGCTAGGGATTGACTTGGGTCGGACTTATAAGCCTCAGTTTTAAATGTGCTAAAAAAATGCTAACCCAACTCTACCCAAGTACCGGGCTGGGTTGGTCTAGGCTTAAGGGAAAAGCCCATTTCGACGGCATGGGTTACATATACCACCTATCAAAAGTAAAATTAACTTACAGTATTATTAGTCCTTCACTCCTCTACGTTTTAAATTTCTAATGGAAAAATATCAAAGTCATGTTGAAATCAAAACCTTCTTTCGTCGAGGGAAAAATGAACTTTCTTGTCATGACCCAAACCGTAGGGCCGCGACGGGCACCCGATGCCTAACTCAATCGAGTACCAACGTAACATATCATTCTTATCATACTATCATGGGTAAATAAACTGGAAAGGCTGTCATGAGATAACTAGAATACAACATAAGAGAATACTAGACATAGAACGACCCAACATGATATAGAAACTTATACTTGTGACATACGGCCTATAAGGCCGACATAATTATTTGTATACTCAAGACATATGCCGATAAGGTCATACAAGTATCCATATACATGTTATTTGTCTACAAGACTATAAGAGTACATAAATATCATAAAGGTCGGGACAGGGCCCCGTCATACCAATCAATACATATTCAAATCATACTGACCAAATAGGCAACTTCGGAGCAAGTGGAGTGCACAAACACCTTCTTCTGAGCTGATAGCCTACTAGGAGAACTCTCAACGTGTCTATCGGGACCTGCGGTCATGAAACGCAGTGTCCCCAGGCAAAAGGGATGTTAGTACAAATAAAGTACCGAGTATGTAAGGCATGAAAGAAACATAGAGTAAGGAACTCAACCTGTAAGTCTGAATAGCTCTGTGAATCATGAAAATATTTATAATGTCATGCATGTGCGTATAAAATGTCATACCATGCATAAGTATATGCGTACATAATATCATCAAGCCTCTGAGGGTATCCCATCATATCATCTCAGCCACTGTGGGCGAAATTATCAACGTATACCAGCTGATCAGATGGTGGTGCGTATATAATGCCATAACTTTTTCCATATCCCATATACGTATAATATACGCGTATATAACGCCATCTGGTCGTGGATCAATGTACATGTATAAATGAATACAATGCATAAGGAAGTAAATCTATAAGATCTCTCAGAATATCATAAGACCCATGAACAGAAGATATGATAGTAGGACATATGGGGAATAAAGAACATAGGTATCCCTAGTACTTCTAGGAATATAATTGTTTGTGAAAGTTAAGTGCTTGCTCATTTCTTGCATCATATGGATCATGCCAAAAAGGAAAGAAGGGATAGCCTTAACATACCTTATCAAAATCTTTCCAATCACCAAGTTGAACTCGCCTCTTCGTACCTTAATCTAAAATAACAATAATAATACTATCATTAAGTTAAGAAAGGTACAACTATCGCACAATGAACGACAAATTTATTTTGTATTAAAACGGGCAGCATCTCCCCTATAATCCTTACTTCCTTCAAATTCAAGATAACACCAAACAAAATAATATCAACATGTATACATTATTTTCCAACCTTATATACACCACAAAATACTACAAAATAGCCCAACACACCCCAATCTCTTCATACACAAAACGACCACCGTAGTAGTGTCAAACGACCCGAAAATATTATGACGAACGATCAGCCCATCACCCTGCATTTATGTGGTGTTTCTCCATAACCTTAATCCTCCAAAACTCCATAAAACAGTAGTAAAACATGCATCCCAACAACAACAAAAAACAATCCACAAAACAGTCTGCTACAAGTGAATAATTCGAACTCACGGCTTCTGATCACCGTCCCGTGAGTTCTAACTATTAGGAAACGAATTTATCAACCTTAATTGATATTTAAATACTTAAATACAGAAAATAAATGTTTTCTTAACTATGAAATACCTTACAAAACTCAAACTACAAAGAAAAAGAGAGGCGATATAGCGATACTTACGTCGTAGGGATCGTTTTAATGTTATCGCTTCTTGATTCCATGCCCAGGATGATAATCTTATTTGAAGCTCTTGCAGAGAGCTTAAGAGTAAAGTTAGAGGTCTTATTTGGTTGTGTGTTCCGTAAAATTGAAGAAAGAAACGAGATAAGGATATAAATATCCATTTTGTTTGAAAAGTCAAAAGGTGCTACTTGGCACCCTCGCATTGGTCCTTCTTCCAACGCTTATAACTTTTTATCTGGGTGTCGTATGAATGAATGGTTAAGAGCGTTGGAAAATACATTCCAAGCCCTTCAATTTGAAATATATCCCAAAAAGACCTCATATAGCACACAAAATGTATTTCTCAAAAAGCTCTGTTACAAGGCAAATCCTTAGTCGGTTTTTCCGCAACTTTAATCAGATTTTTCCCAAACTTCATATTTTCTATCCAAACATCATATATTGCCATATTATGACTTTAAAATCATTTAAATCATGATTAACAAGTCTCATATTTATTACGTCATCTTGGGACGCACAGGGTGTAACATTTCTAATAATAGAAAAAAAGAAGAAAGAATGGTTGTCTACTTTTTAAATAGCAAAAATAGTTTAAAACTTTTAGTTTGTTATAAAACAATAAAAGAAGAAGAAGAAGAATATTGCAGAGAAAAATATAGAGAGAGAATTCTTATTAATTTGGGATGAATTACAATGGAATATGACCCCTCTATTTATAGGGAAAGAGTGACTTAGCCACCAAGTAAAATTCCTAAAATCTCTCTAAAATATAGACATTCACCATAAATAAAATACTATTTATAACACTCCCCCTTGAATGTCTATTCAATAAATAATGTGCCTCATTAAAATCTTAACTAAAATAAAACTCACTAGGAAAAAATTCTAGTGAAGGAAAAAGAGTACATATATCTAACAATACGTCTTTTGGTTTCCTCGTTAAAAACCTTGCAAGGAAAACCCAGTGGGATAAAACCTTGTAAGGGAAA